ATAAACGTTCTCTCGACTAAAACTAATAATTACCTGCGTGACCCGTAACTGCCTGGCTTCTTTGTTCTGCGCGTCATGTTCGCTCGACTGGCAACTGGTCAAAGGATGAGGATGGTCAACACCCCCGTCCTTGCGATAGCAGGCACCACACACATCGTAATCTGGGCAGGTGTCACAGCGCCACCCCTGGCCAGCCTCTATGTCCAGGTGGCACACAGCGCACGTAGTCACAAATGCTGGGGCCGTGGGGTTGTGAAGATGGTACAATACCATCATCGACGAGTGCTTGGCTCGCCGGAGGGTGTCATACTGGTAGTGGTTGCCTTGACACAGGCTGAGGAACGCCTGTCTCGTGTCAAAGAATTCACTCTCTACGACCTCGTTGTCCTTGGTGTCATTAGGGATTCCAGATATTTCCACCTGTAGGACCATATATAGTCAGATTTTTCAGTTCTTTCATTCTCAATATTTTTTCTAGGTTTGACCATGTTTAGTTTCTCGAGAATTTGCATCTTTTTAGGTTTTTCTTGGACTTACGGAATAAAGTGTGTGCTTGTCCTTGTGGTTAATGGGATGTCTCTCTCTGTCATCGCGCTTTTGCTCGGCGTCATTGCACCTGAAATATGGAATATGTGAGGTTGGGACATTAGCGGATTTATTGCCGAAATTATTATTATTGTTGTTGTTAGTGTTACTATTATTATTATGATTATGATTATGATGATGATGATTATTTGACATGACCAAGATACATCCATTCAAGTAAGAGATTTAAGTGTGAGTAAAGCACTACCATTATGAATTGTCACCAATGAACAAATAATTTATGTAAATAAGGGAAGAATGAAAGCTTACTTGTCACAAAGCTGAAACTTTTTGCATTGTCTGCAGACCCATCGAGTTCCAGCAACCATTAGAATACAGCAGTGTGAGCACGAGTGTTGTAAGTGAACCATGATAAAGTCTTCCTTCATAGGGGAAATTGTCTCGCCAAGCTATGAAACATAAACGATCTCTTAATTACCACTAATAGGAAGTAGAGCAATATTAGTTTATTTTCAAATGCATCAGGAAAGAACCATAAAGGTCAAAGAACAATATGACGTTGGAAAGAATAAAATACAACAACAACAACATAGCCTTTAGTCCCACGCAAGTCGGGGTAGGCTAGAGATGAAACCCAAGAGAATTTGGAAAGAATAAAATAATTACTTAAAATATAGCTTAATAGATAGTCAGTTAATTTTCTGTTTTCCGGATGCTAGAAGGATCACAGAAAGAGTTTATGAAAGTAAAAGAGATGGGGGAGAAACAGAAACAAAAAGTAAGAACAGAAAATTACTTTGTGCATTAGCATCAGATCCTTGGATGCGTTTGCTGAAAGATCAGTTTGACCAGATGCCTTCAGAGCTCTTTTTGTGATGCTCTTTTTGAAAATCCCCTTCTTATTCGGTTTTCGACCGTCGTCTTCTTGTTGCAGTTGATAGATGATGTCTTCAGCAGCACCTGGCCAGTAATCTCCATCAAAGTATGGCAACCGTGCTGCAGTTACCTTTGCTTTACATTCACCGGTAGAGACAAAGAAATGCTCGTAAAGATTAGTCAGCTCAACTACAATACTTTCTTTTGAGGCTTTCCGTAACATGGACAAATACCTGGAACAGATTACACGAATCCAGGAAAATATTGAGTTGCCACCCGACATTAAATCCAACAGTTGCACAATTAAAATACGTTCAAACTTACCACTCCCGAAGTTTATCAGATTTAGGTGTCTTTTGAATTTCTGGGTGGCAGTATAATATGTAGTCTTCACCCTTTAATGGAGGGCAGGCCCAAATGTAGCAGCTTGTGAAACCACGCATTTTGCAATATTCCAAATAACCAATCTGAGGACAAATACATATTGAGGTTCTTGAACTAAAAATGTCTAAATATTATTTCACACTGGAGAAAAGTAATGACAAAATTTACCAAAATTTCATGGTATACGAAAGTCCTAAGAGCCTCCCCTGTGACTGCTTTGATCTCTGGCCTGAAATACTTGACAGAGTCCAGGTAAGAGAGGTAGACTCTGCGGTGATTTGGCTGCTGGCAGTCAGCTCCAAACTCTTGGACGTACATGCCAAACAAGCATACTTCAACACCTTCGATTCTTTGAAATAAGAGTACCACCTGAAAAATTATTGTCAAATAATAAATTAGTGACAGCCAATATATCCACCAGCAACATTAGAACATTTCAAAGTTCCAGCTTTCCAACTTTGTTGAATGCAAACCATATTTCTTTCCTTATTAAGGCAGTTACTATGTGCAAATTCTACCTGTCTTCCGCAGGCAGAGAACACACAGCAACTAGACTCATTCAGGTAATTATTTTTTAAACATTTCACACGATATATTATTATATATGAAATTTAAACATAGAGCAGGAAATATAAACCAAATATACAGTGAAACATTCAATTCATCTTTTAAGACTTACCTTAGATTTGTATTGAAACTCAGTTGGATAATTTTCCTCTCGGAAAATTTCAAAAAAACGCGGTTTAACATCCAATTTTTTGTCGACTGAGGATACAACTCGTACAACAAGTGCTTCTGCTCCAGGAACCTGGAAGAATTAGCTCAATATTTATCAACTAGATCACAGTGCTTACAAAAGTAATTTTAGCCATTAAATACAAAAGGTACATAGAATTCAGCATATCTGGATAATTGATATAATAGAAACAAAATTTGAAATCACTTGATCACACTTATAACCACGTGTGATACCACTACCTGGCTGAGTATAAATAGTTTAATATAGTTTTAAATTCTATAATTCTAAATTCTAATATTGATATGAAAAATATAAAGCAAACAAATTCAAAATATATGTAAAAGTCTCATGCTACAAACAAATATAATTCAATCACCTCATCAAAAGCTTTGCCTTGAACCCTTGCTCTGTCCTGCCTCTCTTGCTTCAGCTTTGCAAATAATCGCTGCTCTAAGTGATCACTTAGATTTGTTCTAGGCAAATCCTTGGCTCCAAGAACAGCACTCTGTGGTAATGGCATACGTTCGCCTCTCTCAACTTCTTCAATATAACAATTTGGACAAGTATATTCAGCTTGTCCACCATCATTTCTTCTACCATTGAATAATGCACATATTTGATGTTGCCAAGCCTCACACTTGTCACATTGAACCCACTGCAATATGCAGCAATAATAATAATAATAATAATAATAATAATAATAATAATAATAATAATAATAACAACAACAACAATAACAATAACAATAATAATAATAATAACTATAATATTAATAATTTTAGCATCTGATTGTAATATCATAAACAACAAAGAACATTTTCAAGTAGATGAGAAATACCCATTCTTCAGTCTCCTCGTCATTTTTCTTCCTCTCCACCCTTGCCTTAGGTATAGTAGATCCATCTATCACAATGGAGTCTCCACGAGAGTCGTTGTAGCATGGAATACATAAGCAATGGCGAGTTTCACCAGCTCCAACAGTGTAATATGGTGCATTTCTTTTGATGCGTGCCCCACAAGGAGTACAGTATATAGGTGGAGGTTCAAACGAAAGCTTCTCAACTGCACACAACTGGCAAGAATTTTCATTCATCGAATGCTCCATTGCTTGATTTCTCTCCGCCTTTGCTCTACTCTGCGAAATAAACAAAATGCAAGTGGCATCAGCAGGAGGTGAATCGGACATTTGACGAGCATATCTGTCAAATCATGCTTCTTCAGTAGTGTATGATATGGAGCAACTTGTGCTTCTGAATTCTCTCTCCCGCACTATGGCAGGTCAAATGTATAGTGTATGATAGTTATATGGTCTGAGGTGCCTAGGGTAACATTTCAGTAGCCTATAGGGGAAATTTTCTTGTTTAAATATGCAGCAAGTTTGCAATTCAGAGCAAGCAGAATAGTGTCATAAATATCAAGTTAGAAATATAAGAACATGTACGATAAAAACAGACCTGGCCTATCCACTGTCTAAGACCCATAATGTGCTGGCGAACTTGTTCAGGTGTGAACAATTCTATCATTGATACCCCCTTTATCTTTGGCTTCCCAGACTTGGCTGCACTCTCCAATTGTACTGAAGTGATTTCCATCTTACCCTGTTCCGGTTCATTTTCAGACTTAACGGCCTCCTGAACACCAACTGCAGCAGGATTATTTGGAGCAATGGGATCGACTTCTGTACTGTGGATGCGAGCAACATCTTTCGTCTCTTTTTTCATCTCAATATCTTTGGGATTTAATTGTCCCACGCTTCCATGAATCTTCGTTTTTGCTTCAGCAGCGCTCAAAGAAGGAAGAGTATCATGATGCTGCTCCATATGACGAGAATCCATTGCAACAGAAAATCCACTCTCTGAGACAAGAGATTGGGAACCTTGTTCAATTTTGGTGCGTTTAGCCGGAGGTTGTAAATCTTCCGGAGCTTCAGCTTTAACCTGCCCAGTTTCTGCAATTGATCTTCCCCCGATTTCATCAGTATCCTGAGGATCCAAAGATCCATCTACCGAACTAGGCATCCCGGAATTAAAATCAGAACGCGCAAGCTGCTTCAGCTGCGCCTGCACGAAATTCTTAACGGGAACACAAACAGGGCAGCTCTCGTCCCTACAACGCCTGTGATGATTGATTAAAACCTTTGTAACACGGCAACGGGGGTACATACACTGAATAACGTTACAATTTTCCATGTGTTTCAACAACTTCTGACCAGTCAAGCAGTTGTTGTCGGGGCATTTCCCTTCTGGGGCGGGGCACCGACGGGCATGCCTTAGAAACAACAGCCATCTCTGTTGGTTTTTGAACTGCTTTTCCCGGGTAATGTTAGATCTACCTTCTCCTGATTGGGAAGTGTCGGGTTGGCCAATCACTGACTCTTCTGAGGATAATTTATTAGGTTGAGCTAAATCTTGCCCGGTTATTCTGTTGTTGACTTGATTGACCACACCTTGATGTATTGATTCATCTGGTCTAATGCTATCAGAAAGAAGGGTAAACTCATGTTGAGAGTTAACACCAAACTGTTGAGGATGACCAGATGGCTGTGCCAAAAGCTGAGAAGCCCCAGGAAGCTCTTCCAGAGAGCAATGTTGGTACTGGTTCTTCATGTCGGGTAAACTGAAGGGGTTTGACAGTTGACTGTCGTCAAGAAGCTCCGTCTTAACCAAAGGCTTAACTTCAGGAGATGTATTGGACAACACCTGGGGATGATTGACAGAATTACACTTCATCAGAAGCTGGTTTCGCATTTGGTTTTTCTGTTGAGCTTGATGCTGAGCAACTTGTCGGCTCTGATTTAACTGATAGGAAGGATGTAGAATTTGTGGGTGCTGGAGGTGTTGCGAATGGAAATTCATATTCTCTGGCTGATGAGTTGATTGATACTCCATGGTTGTTGGCTGCGGAGTAGAGAACACATGGGACTGGCTGCTAGTCATCATCTGAGGGGCTTCTATGGGCATGGATCCTGTATTCAAGCCAGGATTGTTCATCATTGACCCAACAGAGGCCATATTACCAGACCCTGAAGCATCAGGAGTTCCTATTACGTCACCTGCCAAGCAGAAAAGAGTGAGTGGTGAGCATACAGTTTAGAAGCTCCAGCAAGATCAAGATTTCAACATCACACCACCATACTGAAACACCCACACATACTCCCCCCACCCCATAGCGAGACTTGTTTATATATTCAGCAAGTTCAATGAAAAATTAATCATTGTTGTCGGGAAAATAAAATTCTGAAATATTTCCTATCACACCCTTAATGTTAATTATCATAACAATTTTATTATAAATAGATATAAATGAAAATGTAAAACTCGGAGTTCGATTTGATGTGAAAATACCTAAATAGTACGTGGGCATAATTGGATCGTAAAGTATACAAGTGAATGGTAAGAATTACTGAAAAATGTGAAGCAATGATTGCTCAATTAATGATTATATTAACAAAATGAATAGAATGACAGGTGTGATGAAAAAATTAATGCACATGAATAGTCGGGCTTTGAAATTTTCAAAATATAATTCTTGGAGGAAAATCTCCAGAAAGTGTATCCAATTGTTGTGCGAGCATCCAGGTCAGAAGCGATGAGGGTATTGCAGTACCGTGCATTCCTGATCGTTGATATCGATCCAAAGGTTGATGCAATGGCTTTGCAGAGGTCCCACTCACTGTCCCAGTTAAGTATCCCTCGGTGGTCCCAGGGCCCTGAGCCACAGGCAAATTTCTCCCTGCCATTCCCGACCCTCCAATCATGGGCCTATTTGATAGTCCCAAGGACTTCTGCTGCAACGTAGATCTGATCCCACCACCCATATTTCCACCAATATTATGCAATATCCGACTATTTTGACTGCCAGAATTCTGCCTTTGCAGCATAGCCTGTGATGCACTTGTAGACTCGACTGGGTTACATGCACCTCCACTAATTGACGGCTCCACCGTAACAAACGTGTTGTTAGTGGCACTCATATTTACATCGTGGCTATTAGAATTGCTGATTCCAGGAGTGGGAATCATTTGAGTCGTCATTCTCTGAGCACTCATGGATGCTATCATTCTATTACCACCGTTAGTAGATAAAAAAGCATTTGGCGGTTGCTGATATCTGGTGGCTAAATTTCCTGAAAGAAACCATATCATGGGTCGAGTGAAAAGGAAACTTGAAAATTAATAATCTTTTAGAGGACACAATTAAAAATTACCATCGGATGAACTAAGGGAACCACTGCACACACCTCCTGACGACAAGTTCCGCGTTGGCGCAAAGCCACCAGAGCTGACGGCGGACGATGCAAGTGTGTTTGAACTATTCATGGCAACAAGGGAACTATCTACAGTTGAAGTCCCGGCCAAGCTTGAGTTACCAATTTGTTGAAATCCAGGAGTTGGGATCATTGTACCAATAGGAGGGGAAGAATTTGCATGTGATAACTGCTGGTTGTGATTACTCATGGGACGCTTAATAAAAGCATGTAAACGATGTTCCAGAGTTGAGAGGTCCATATATTCTTCCTGACAATATGGACAGGACAATAGATATGTAGATATGTAAGGGTCTACAAACTACTTCACTAATATAAACTTCATGCAAGAACCTTAGCAACTCCAATATACACCGGTCTAATTTTATGCATATGTTATATATGAAAAAGCTTCAAATGTCCAGGAAGATACTGAAGAACCGAGATTAAAAAAAAAAAAAAAATACAAAAACAAAGAAAGGGTACAAACCTTTGTTGTAGCACTCTTGAACAAACCCTCTTCCAGACGTTTCACGATATCACCCAGTTTTCTATTGGTAACGTCCTGAGGTTGTCTACAGCGCTGCACAAGAAATTCCCAGCTGCAGAAGAGAAATCTGAAAACCTTAGCAGAATATAAAGAAATTTAAAAAATGATGGCATTCATGATTTATAGCACTTACTATGTGATGTATACAGGAAACATAAAGTAGTAAAAGAATGTTAACCAGGATGGAATAGGATGGACACATATTGTATTTGCCACCCTCCACACAACAATTCCCATTATCTCACTTAAAGCCATGGTAATTACTTAAGTGATGTGAAAAACTTCAGTACCAAAAACAGAAGAAAAGAAAAAGAAAACAAATAAACAAGCAAAACCGAATTGCTGCGAAACAATGAACCTTCATTTAAACAAGCGGCTATTTCTCCCTAGGCCAGATAGTAAACAAGTTTTCCCCCAGTGAAGAATCTAACGCAGCCTTCCCCATGCTCTTATGAAGCAATAGTTGGCATTTGCAAACACTCAAATGTGGAGAAAAATACCGCTTTCAACTAAGAATCAAAATCTAGTTTTTGCAAGTACTCCCATAATCTACTGCAAAAATGAATGCATCTGATGTGCCTACAAAAATTGACTTGCATGGAAAGATTATAGTTTATGCTGTCTACAACCATCATATCGGAAAGGGTGTGTCTTCACGGAAGGAAATAATAAACAGGGAGAAGTCTTACATCTTCCCTTGCAAATGTCTGCGTATTTGAAGAATTTCTGGATCCATAATCGGGACATTATGGCGAACACCGGGAGTTTGCATCTGATTAGGCACAGGATTTCCATTTTGCTGTGGTAGCCTAGGCAACATTGAACCCGGTTGGTTGGGCACTTGTCCGGACATTTGTCCTGTCTGGTGCGTCTGCATATTCATCTTTATCTAAGACGGGTAAATATGTGCCACATCCAATAAGCAGACACAAATATCATAATAAGTCAGCTGGACTAATGCAACTAGTCAACTCTCGTCCACAACAAGAAGAAAGCCCAAACTAGACAAGAAGACCTGTAAAGCAAATACGAAATTACTTATCAAAAGAGGAAAGAACAGAACTATATTACACGAATATCAACAGAAAATAACAAACAAATAAAATTGTGCATTTCACTCAGCATGCGGTGTATGTTCATCTCAACGCCAGTGAAGGATCATCAATCCCAGCAAATATTCAACAAAAAAATAAACAAGTAAAAAATGGGAGCTATGGGAAAGCTAAAATCCACTCACTCAGCTAAGCACACATCAAATTGAGCTAACCAGTTTACTAGCATTGAAATCCCAAAATTTTGATCACATGCATAAACACAGGCATACAGCCCCATCACAGGCATGCATACATATTGGATAAGCTAAAATCAACTGCCCACATATGAAGAATCGAAAAAAGAGAGATGGTAATAAACTTTTACTAAAATATACACACACATACATATATGTTGCAGACTAGGGTTTCATCAATTTAGGCCATAAATTCTCACCGAACGTCAATTAGGGCAAAATCCGACTGGTATCGACGGGAAATTCAAATAAATTTAAGAAAAATATATGAACTCGCCGAAAATCAAACGCCTTCAGCTGAAAGCGCGATGAGCAGAAATCGAGCCAAATAGATATAAGGAAGCATGTAATCAGTTGAATAGAGAATGGGCCGGCTGTGGACGGCGGGAAACTAACCGGCGGCGAGCAAAGGTCACGTCGGAAAAGGCTGATTTTGAGAAGAAAGGGGCTGATTTACAAATTTGGGTATTTTTTTGTTTTTATTTTTTCTTAAGTATATAAATTGAGCGGTGTTTAACCTTTTTTCCCCCATTTTATTTTTTATTTGAGTGGATTGCAATAATTAAATTGATGTATAATTATTAATGATGAGCAGTCAAAAAAATAAAAACGAAATATATTACATATTGCTAACCTAATTGTTATAGTTTAATAAATAGTATAAACTATAAATAAAAGTATATTTTATGTAAAAGAAAATATAATAAGTTGATGTTATGCGGACTTATACAAGAATTTGTGATATTATTTATAATTTGAGTTTTACGAATTGTCCCAACAACTATCAGTATATCAAATGGAGCGGACCCGATAAATAGTGAGATTTTTCTCAATTGCAACTAGGGCTGCAAACAAACTGAGTGGCTCGCGAGCTGCTCGTGAGCGCTCGAGTTAAAGTTCGACTCGAACTCGAGATTGACCGAACCCGACTTACCGAACTCGAGCCGGGTTCGAGCCCATATTTCGCATTTTCGAGCTGCTATATGTTGAATTACTAAAATACTTCTTATAGATATATTATAATAGAATAGCATAAATGCTTAATGGTAAATTTATTTTTCCACTTAAAGATGTTCGAGCCAAGCTTGAACATTTTGATTTCGAGTCGAGCTCGAGCGATTGTACTTATTTATCGAGTCGAGCTCGAGCTCGAGCAACTAAAAAAAAGACCAATTCTGCTCGATAAGGCTAATGCTCGACTCGGCTCGGCTCGTGCAGTCGTAATTGCAACACATACTCGTGTGATGTACAAGTATATGATATAAATATATAATGTATAATAATATTTACTATTATTATTTTACTTTATTACGTCACATTTATAGTTTTAAAAATTATAAAATTTATTATTTTTATAATTTTATAATTTTTATATACAATATTCGATGATGAATTAATTAGCTTATTGTTTTTTAACGTGTAAAAATACATAGAAACTGACTTATTTTACATAAAAAAAGATAACTATTTTGATTTATATATGAAATATTAGTATCGAATCGAATATAATTGAAAAGAAAAATATTTTGATATATTATTTATAAAGAAAAGGATAATAATTTGAATATTATTGAGTTTTGCTTAGATAAAGAAAATTTCATAAATATTCAATTTAAAAACAAAATTAAAAAAGATAGTAAAAATAGTACAAATATTTAACTCAATAAAATGAGAAAGAAATGAATCTCAAACAAGGTAAATATCGTTAACTATAATATGGTAATATAATTATACCTTTATTCTTTAATGCAAAAAATAATTGTTTATGTGAGCTTGGAAAAATTGCAGATTTCATTATTAAATATGTTCTTACTCTTGAGTAAATTGTACTGTGACTAAGGGGGGTGTATTTAATTAGGATTTTTAAGGATTTTTTAAGACTTTAGAAATCCTGGTGTATTCAATTTAGATTTGTTAAAACTTTTAAAAATCCTGGGGTATTCAATTGGGATTTTCAAAAGTCTTACAAAATCCTGAGGTATTTAATTTTTTTGACACTGGGATTTATTAAGACTTTTTAAGATTTAGTGGGATTTCTAAACAAAAAACCTTATATGAAATCCCACTTCAAATCTTACCTCCGGACTTGAGATTTCATAGAATTCTTCCAAAATCTGACAATCCTATAAAGTCTCAAATCTCGAAAAGTCTTAAAATGTCACTTAAATTCCGAATTGAATACACCCCCCTAAATCTATAGAAGAAATCAATCTTGTTACAGCCTTTTTCTCCAGTGAGTACTTAGTCGAGATTCTGATCAGATACATTGTCTTTCTCGGATTACTCGGTTAACCATTGTTCCTCTGTGAAAGAGTTTTATTTTTGGCATGAGTTCAAAAATTAAGATATTGAAGATATGTTCCTACATGCACAAGCAATCTATATAAGAGAAGTTTATCTATTTATTTATATAGTTACTCGAATTTCCTATTTACTTGTTAATTAAATTGCATGATCTTATTGTGGTATTGTCTTGTAGGGTTGCGGCCAAATGGTAGATACGCACACACGAGATCATAGGAGATCAAGAGAAGATTGGAAAGAAGATCTCATGAGAGAGAAGAAGAGTCCTAATGCTATATGGACTTTGGATAAACTTGGAAGGAAATCAAGGAATCTTGAAGGAGACTCTCCACACGAAGGAAGTCATATAAATACCTACCTTGAAGATTGAAGTAGGGTTGCTAAGCTTATCACTTACACACGCCACCTTCAAGCTTCAAGTGTTTTTCGTGCTTACATTTATATTCTCGATCCAGTTCTTCGTACTCTTGGATATCTAAGAACTGAGATTATTTTGATTGTGTTTTTCTCATTTCATTTGAGTCATTAGTCATCGACACTTAAGGAGTAAGTGTTAGGAAATAAGTAAGTCCACGGGACGTGGCCGGAGAAATAGTTGATAGGTTGGTTCATAGTTGTGGCTAGGCTAGAAGGGAGTTCTAGTTTTTGTAAGTCCAAACTATGTTCGAAAGTAATATCAATGAAAGAGCTTTGAGGGGAAGTGGGATGCTTCCCTGAAGAGTTTTTAAATCTTCGATTTATTGCTTCCGCTATTTTTAGTCTTTACTCTTGTTCGTACAACGTTGAGCGTACTCGCGATAAATTTATACGTTTCATTCTGCTCAAATTTGTTCTTCTTTCAGAACTTTTGTTCTTTCTGCTCAGTTTCTGAGTGCATCAATTCTCATATTCAAATGTTTTAATAGCCCAGATTTGTTCTGTTTCATTTACATGAAAAAGCTTTAGATTTAGTCGAGCTGCATTCATTATATATATATGAAGAAAGTCTCTGTGACCATGATTTTTAGAGGCCGTATTCTCGAGAATCGCAAAAGAAAAATACTTCCGTTAGACGATATGGCAGCTGAAGAAACGCTGCACGTACAAGGAATGATAATGCAAGAGAAAAACATTAGTCGAAAAAAATCTCAAAAAAGCACTGAGATGAAGCTTTTATGTCACCCTGTAAATTGCAGTTCATATTTCATAAGGCTCATACTTTCACTGTTTGTGCATACCATTGCATTACAAAATAACTCCAATCGAGTTAAGAAAACGCTAGCATTTAGCACAAGGCTTGCTCAACATTCTTTTCTTCAGTAGGTAGGTTGTATGATAAATTATCAGCAGATTGTGTTCTTGAGAGTGTTGAACTCCAGATGAGGAATATAGGTTGTGTCTTTGTTTTGGAATTAGATAATTTTGATGTTCTATTAAAAACTTGAAACTGATATTTGTTTGCAGCAACTGAATATCTCCATAACTTAATTTGTATCAACTCTTCTTTATGTCTTGAATACAAATGTACAGAAAATTCCAAGAAAAAAATCGAGTCAACCGTGTATTTCGGTGCGATCCGGTTTGGTTATTCGTGCAGAAAATTTTTGTTGGGGTTCATTTTGTTTATATCAGTGTGGGAAATTTGGGGTTCGATTTTTTCTATGTTGCAGTGCGATTCAATTATTATTTTTGACC